ACCAGAATTTAGTTAAAATTTCAGTTTATCAAATCTAAATAGAAAAGATTAAGTAAAATGTTATTACAGGCTAAAGAAATTCCATTGAAATTTAATGAATAAGGATCTTTTGACCACAAAAAAAGTCGTTAAAGTAGATAATGTTCCAGACCTCTAGTTAAATGTTACATGTCAGATTGCTCAAATGGGTTTTACATTATATAATCCTGAGAGATGTAGCATGAAGTAAGCCTGTGTTCATGTCTTTGGAAAACTTCTATTTTCCCAGTGGGAAGTCCCATGGAGACTGGTAAAGGTAAATCTTAGAGTTGAATGGTCCAGGTAAGGGTATCTGTACCTGTTCAGTCTGCTAAGCTTTGAAGGAGGCTACTGAAGGGTCAGAAATGTCTTGGATTTTACAGTCTTCACCTTCTTTCTCTTCCTCAGGCAGGTGTTTTTTTTTTTTTTTTTTTTTAAGATTTTATTTGAAAGAAGTTATAGTGAGGGAGAGACAGGTCTTCCCCAAATGGCCGCAGCAGCCGAAGCTGGGCCGGACTGAAGTCAGGAGCCAGGGACTTCTCAGTCTTTTCCTGTGGCTGCAGGGACCCAAGCAGTTGTGCTGTTTCCCACCGCTTTCCCAGACACAGTAGCAGGGAGCTGGATCAGAAGTGGAGCAGCTGGAACTCAAACCAGTGCCCATAAAGCATGCCAGAGTCAGTGGCTTTACCCACTACGCCACAACTCCAGCCCCCCCGCAGGATTTTATGATAGGTGAATGAGGGAAGAAGTGCAAATACTTGCTGTATGTACTATATAAAGATTTACTGAACATGATTTATTTGAAAGAGTTACACAGAGAGAGGTCTTTCATCTGCTGGTTTACTCCCCAGATGGCTGCAACAGCTGGAGCTGCACCAATCCGAAGCCAGGAGTCAGGAGCTTCCTCGGGGTCTCCCACGCAGGTGCAGGGGCCCAAGGACCTGGGCCATCCTCTACTGCTTTCCCAGGCCATAGCAGAGAGCTGGATTGGAAGAGGAGCAGCTCATATGGGATGCCAGCACTTAAGGCCAGGGCTTTAACCTGCTGGACCACAGCGCCGGCCCCTGGACATTCTTTTAATAGCTCTATATAACAACTTACTGAGTTGGTCATATATTCCTGGGCTGAAAGATGAGGGAGTTGGTTTGTGTCTGAAGTTTAACTGAGGTTGTAGATAAACTTTGGAGAAAGGCTCTCTTATTGATTAGAGTTTGATTCATTTGGGTACTTGGTATTTTTTATTGTATTGAAATAAAGTGTAACTACCAAGAAATGGACATCAGCTTATAGATAAATGAGTTTTTGGTCTTCTGATCACACTTATAACCATGACCCAAATTAAGAACAAAGCATTAGGGGCCAGTGCCTGTAATGCTGGCATTCCATATGGGTGACGGTTCAAGTCCTGGCTGCTCCACTTCCAATCTAGCTCCCTGCTAATGAGCCTGGGAAAGAAGTGAAAGATGATACAAGTCTTTGGGCCCCTGCACCCACGTGGGAGACCTGGTAGAAGCTTCTGGCTTCAGATTAGCTCAGCTCTGGCAGTTGCAGACATCTGGGGAGTGAACCAAGGAATGGAAAATCCCTCTCCCTCCCTCTGTAAATCTGCCTGTCAAGTAAATAAATCTTTTTAAAAACTTACTAGTACCCGAGACTTTTTTGTTCAAGATTTTATTTATTTGAAACCAGGAGTTTCTTCCAGGTCTCCCACATGGGTGTAGGGGCCCAACCACTTGGGCCATCTTCCACTTTCCCAGGCCATTAGCAGGGAGCTGGGTTTGAAGAGGGAACAGCTGGGACACAGACCAGCGCCCATATGGGATGCCGGCTCCACAGGCATAGGCTTAGCCTACTACGTAAGCCACAGCGCCGGCCTCAGCAGTATTTCTTAATTTGGGAGCACCACTGATGTTTTGCGATGGGACTTTATTTTGGAGAGGGCTGTGGATACTGTTGGCTACTGTAACCCCTCATCCCACCAAGATGTAAGTTACCTCCACATTATTACTCCATCATCCCTCCTGTGTTGAGCTACTGAGTCAGGAAAGTGTTCTAAGGTGTTGATGTTTACATGTGTGGACTCTGGTGTGTCCAAGCGATTTGAAATATCTGAAACCTGTGGTAAGAACTGCTTCGTCTCGCTACCGGTCAGACTGCGCTCACATTTTCCACAGTTAAGGATACCATTTGCAGACCCCAAGGTACCATTTCTTCACAATTTCCGTTGCATGACTTCGCAGGCATTTTGGAATGATGGTTTTTGGAAAATGTGATTTCTAAGGTCACCTGGCTTTTATCTTTTTATGTTCTTTTTGTCCAGTTGTTTGAGAAGAGTTTAACATTCAAAGAAAGGGAATTTAAAGCTAGTAAAAAGGAAGTTTTTTCTGGCCTGGGGCAGCTGTGATTTGAATGCCCTTGAACTGCCGCAGAGTCAGAAAATACCACTGGCCAAGAGGATCTGGGAAGCTATAGGGTGGCATTTTGTGAAGCATTCTTCGCTCATTGGACAGTAATGTGCTTGGCTGGGTAGCTGTCATGTGCAGGGACTTGCAGGAAATTTCAGCCCCTTAGATTTACTCTATACATGTACTAAACTATTAGATGTAGAGATAGAAGTCCAAAAGAAGTAGGATATCGTGGCACGCGTAGGGGCCAGTGCTGTGGCGCAGTAGGTTGAAACCCCAGCCTGCAGCGCCAGCATCCCATATGGGCACCAGTTTGAGTCCTGACTGCTCCACTTCTGATTCCTCTCTCTGCTATGGCCTGGAAAAGCAGTAGTTGATGGCCCAAGCGCTTGGGCCCTTGCACCCACATGAGAGACCCAGAGGAAACTCCTGGCTCCAGTCTTTGGCTCGGCTCAGCTCCAGCTGTTGTAGCCATTTGGGGAGTGAACCAGCGGATAGAAGACCTCTCTCTGTCGTACCTTCTCACTGTCTGTAACTATCTCTCAAATAAACAAAAATCTTAAAAAAAAAATTATGTGGAGTCTATGGGATGGTAGCTGGGGCAAAAGGCTTATAGAGAAGCAACCAAGTTTTAGGGCGGACATAAATGCAGTTAGTGGTCATCTAGAAGATGTTCATCTGTGGCATAGAAAAAGTTTTCTCCATGATCTTTCTTGCAGCTGCCAGCTACTTCTCAGACTTTCGCCCTGTGTCAGCAGTGCCATCTGGTTTCCTTGCCCCACACACCCCTGTTCCTTGTACATATCAAATCCCTGCGAGTGACCTTAGAACACGTTTTGTGTCATTAATTGCCTCTGTCTCAATAAATTAAGGTCCCAGAGCATAGTGACTCAAATATTCAACTTTGTCACTTATCAAATATTAAATACTTAACTCTATTGTTGATAGGCTAGTCCAGAATTTTATCTGCATCTTTGTAGTTCTTCAACACCTTGTGTGTTTACCATTATTTAATTTACTACTTCCTACCTGTTGGTTTCAAAGGATAATTGAGGGATGGCAATCCGCCAAAGTACAGAAGCCAAAGCATTCTATTCTTTCATTCAGCTTACGTGTAACTAAAGCACCTTCTTTGTGTCAGGTGCTCTTGGCTGCCAAGAAAAAACAGTAGCTACTGGTGAGCATTTAAAATGAGACACTTAGTAAGTAGTGTGTACAGGCTGGCTCATCTAATCCTCTTGACAACCGAATCAGAGAGAACCATTAGCCCCATTCTACAGATGAAATCAAGGCATGGAGAAGTCACAATATGTGACGATGGAATGCAGTTCTGCATTGTGATTCCCATGCCTTGGTTTCACCTGTAAACAAAGGTAGCAAAAACAAGGAAAATGGGGAAATATTTCAAATTTTAGATGATCTTCAAATTCAAAACCTTGCAATAATCTGAAAGAGTTTTGATGGTTGGAAGCTTTTGTTTCCCAGAAATCACCTTTTCCCCAGGTTGGAAAAATCTAGTTAATAAATCAACAATGATGATACGTAATCAATGGTTTGAAAAAACTGTTGTGTGCGTGGCAGGTTGTAGTCTTCACTGCCACTAGAGGGCGCCAGAACACAAGTGAAGTCTGGTTGAGCCAGCTGAAAGCAACGCCTGACCCACCATAACCCAAATCAACACTACCTGATGAAAACCTGGACTTTCAGGGCCAAAGGCATTACCTACATAGAAATAAAGCTCAAGGTTTACTACTGAGTGACTACTTTCATGCCTGAAAATAATCATTTTCAGATGACTGTTCATGGGGAGGGCATTCTGATGGAAAACACTCGTCTTGAAATATTTAAATATGAATTTATTCAAGGAAGGTGTTTTGTGTGTAAAACCTCACTTGGGCCATAAAACATCTTTGTTTCTTACTGAAACTGCCACTTAACTCTTCTTCCAAGTGCCTTGAGTTGATACAGTTGAAGTCCTGTCTGTTCCTATTCCCACTTTTTTATTTTCCCACTTGGAGTATATTCTTCCAGAGTATTTCTTGGACTTAAATATACATATTTATGTAACTGAACAACCAATTGTGTGGTTTTTATTTTTTAAAGATTTATTTATTTGAAAGGCAGAGCCACAGAGAGGGAGAGGCAGAGGCAGAGAGAGGTTCTCCATCCAGTGGTTCGCTCCCCAGATGGCTGCAACAGCCAGAGCGGGGCCTATCTGAATCCAGGACCCAGGAGCCACCTCTGGGTCTCCCACATGGGTGCAGGGGCCGGAGGACTCGGGCCATCGTCTACTGCTTTACCAGGCCATAGTAGAGAGCTGGACCAGAAGTGGAGCAGCCAGGACTTGAACCTGCACCCTTATGGGATGCCGGCACTGCAGGTGGCCACCTTAACCTGCTACGCCACAGCGCCGGCCTCTAATGATGTGCTTTAAAGTACAGAAATGGTAGAATGCTAAACATTTTGTCATTAGCTTAAAAAATTAGTTTATTAAGGCAGAGCAACAGAGCTCTCATCTACTGATTCTCATGTACACATATCTTGGACTTAAAGCTAAACGAAGAATTGTACACAGAATACCATTTGTTGAGGTGAATTTTAATATTGTATAAAAAAATCCAACTTGTTACACAAGTACATATGCCCTTTGATTTTATGCATAAATCCATATACATATATCAAGGTAAAGTCCAATACGAAAAAAACAGCATGTCCTATGGCCAGTGTTCCACGGAAGTCAGACTGCAAACTTTATTTTATAGTCAAATGAGATTGCAACACTAAGGCAACACGAGGCGGAAGCAAATCATGTCCACAGCATATTACAAAACGCCTTGTATAGCTTATTTACTCTCCCTTGGTAAACTCATCTTAGAACTCTCAAAGATAGTTTTCTAAATAAGTTTACACAAGTCCGTGTCTCCTGTTTGTCTCTGTTCTGCAGCAAACCCGCTTTCTCAGAACTGGCTATGTTGGCTTCGTTTTTTATGCTTTGCTTTGTTACAGACTTAACAATAGCCTGAGCTCTGGGGCTCTGAACTACTTTCCTTGGGACCCTTGATGCAATGACATGCAAATAGATCATTTCTCATCTTCATCTGTATCTCAGGCGGTTTTCCAAGGCTTCCATTCTCTGTGTCATTTCTTCTAGTAAATCTCAAGTTAAGGAAGAAGAATCTGGATTGCCTACTTTTATTTCTATTCACACACCTTGATTTATTTACATAAAAATCTGACTCCTGAAAAATAAAAGGCGCTCCCCTCCACTATTACTGCTACAAATTTTAAACCCTTGACATGTGGTTTATAGTAGCTCATTTGACTTGCTATCCAAGCAAACATATCTCAGGTTAAATACTTGTTGACATTATCAAAACCAGAGAGCTAAATTTGAATTTGTCCTTTTAAAAAATTTATATGAAAGGCAGAGTTATATAGAGAGGGGAAGACAGAGAAAGACCTTCCATCTGCTGGTTTACTCCCCAAATGGCCTCAATGGCCAGGGCTGGGCCAGGCCAAAGCCAGGCGCCTGGAGCTTCATCCGGGTATCCCACATGGTGCAAGGGCCCAGGCACTTGCATCATCTTCTGCGCTTTCCCAGGCACATGACCAGGGAGCTGGATCTGGAGTGGAGCAGCCAGGACGCAAACTGACACCCACATGGGAGGCTGCTGTTACATGTGGTGGCTTAGCCCACTGCACCATAAATGTTGCAGACCCCCATTAAAAAAAATTTTTTTTTTAAATTTCACTTACACCCTCTTGCTTGTAAATGAGTTTGCCACAGCCCACGCCTGGCAGCCAGAACTGACAATGCTGAGAACGTAGTGAGGAGGCGAAGCTGAAGTGAGCAGGCCTCGGAAAGTAAGACACAAATAAAGGCAGAGAGAAGGGAGATGAGCCTTCACCCCTGATGCAGAGAGGCCAAAGGGTAGCAGCCTGGAGGAACTCCGACCCATGTTCTTCTGTATGAAATTTCTCTGGTCTCTCCTGAAGTTGATCTTCAGAAGTGGGGTGGCAGAAAGGGAAGGCAAACAGCGCATTGTCTTCCCTGTAAACTCCTACAGACCCCCACCCCATCAGCTCCTTGTCACAGCAGCAGAACCCAGATTCATCCTCTCCTACCCACTGGCAGAGATGATTTTGCTTGACTTAAGGGCACGTGCTTCCAGTTTTCAGGAAGGCGGTAGCTCTGAGCGGTTCTTTATCCTACAAAGCACTGGCACAGAGGTAGTTACAGCTAAGCCATGTCCCCACAGACTAGCTGATACGCGCTGAGACAGCCGTCGGGCCAGCTTTGGTAAGCTCTAGTAAGCTCACTGTAATTCTGACTTCTCAGTAGTTGGCAGGGCGTCCAATGTTTAAAAGCACTGGATTCTCATTTCTCTATTGTCCCAAAGTATGCCTTCTATTTGTGCTATTATTTTAATGAATCATTGGATCCTGCTGTTCCCTGGGTAGAACATTTCATCTCTTAGAGTGCTGATTGAAAAGCTCTCTCTGGCCAAAAAAAGAAAAAAAGAATCCCCTCCTTCCCGGCTTCCACTCCCCCAGGCCTCCAGGAACTACACAACTGAATCCAAGTGTGGCCTCGGTCTGACTTGGGGCTAAAGGAAAGGCCCGGTGTTCAGAACAAGTTGAAAACCTCTGGAACATTCTTTGCCTTAACACACCGTGCCTTTGAGGCACTGGGCCTGTCTCTCCCCACCCCCCATCCTCCCAGCCCAGAGCGAGCTAGGTCTGGCTGTGTGTGCATTCTGCATGCTGATCGGCTGCCCCTGCCCCGCCTTTCTGGTGAGCCCCCAGGAACAGCCATTCAGCCTGACCTGCCCTTGCCTCAACCACCCAACAGGTGGCTTGATGAAGACAAAAGCCTTCCCCAGAGTCCACTGTTCTTGACTCAATGGGAATGCCTTCATTTGCTAAAAGCCACATACAGGAGGTATTGAGGTATTGAGACTATTCTCTGTGTTCCACACAGAGTCATGCTAGCAGCAAAGGATATGGCGCTGTGTTAATTTTCTTACTTCTTCGTTCGCAAGGTTCTGGAACATGATCAGGTTTTCACATTTGCACTGGTCGTGTTTTTCATCCAGATGGCTTCCTGAGAAAGCAGACAGAAAGTGGTCACCTCTCTCATGGCCCAGACCTCCCTGGCACATAATAACAGGGCTGAATCAGCATACGGAGGAAACCATAAGGGAAGAAGGGCTCAGCTCTTTGCACACAGCCAGGCTGGGCCAAGGAAATCCCAGGAGAGGCTCTGTGTACTCCTGACACTGGCAGAGGCCTCCGCGTGCCTTAGCGGGGAAGACCACTCCAGTTTCTCTTAGTTTATTTATTTACTTTTTGGTTCTCGTTTTACTTCAGTCATTTCTCCTCTTTGCCTTGACCCTGTTTCCTGCTTCCTTCTTTAAGCTCATTTTGTTGGCAAGTTGGAAGGCTATCAAGTGATCTGATAAGAACACTGTACTTGGAATTACCTGGAGATGTTGTTGAATGGAAATGTTTTTGAGTCGTCCGTGACAGACTGTCTTCTTCAAACAGGTACCTATGCTGCACTGCAAAATTAGAACAGGAAAGGAGGTCTCGGATATTTATGGTGACGGGCTCAGATTCTGTAAGGAGAAAGAAACTGAAGTCAAACCTGCTTTATAAAAAACATGTACATATTTGCACTTTACTTGAAAGATAGAAAGAGGGCCAGCGCTGTGGCATAGCAGGTAAAGTTGCCATCTGCAGTGCTGGCATCCCATATGGGCACCAATTCAAGTCCCAGCTGTTCCACTTCCAATCCAGCTCCCTGCTGATATGCCTGGGAAAGCAGTGGAAATGGCCCAAATGCTTGGGCCCCTGCACCCATGTGGGAGACCCGAATGATACTCCAGGCCCCTTGCTTCAGATCAGCCCAGCTCTGGCCACTGTGGCCATTTCAGGAGTTAACCAGCAGATGGAAGACCTCTCTCTCTTTCTCTCTCTGCCTCTGCCTCTCTGTAACTCTGCCTTTCAAATAAATAAATAGATATTTAAAAGGGGGGGGGGCATGAGAGAGAGTCCATCCATCATTGGTTTACTTCCCAAATGTCCACAATAGTCGAGTTTGAGCAAGATAAAGCCCAGAGCCCACAACTCAGTCTGGGTCTCCCTCATGGGTGGCAGGGACCCACGTCCTTGCACATCCGCAGGAAGCTGGACCAGAAGTGGAGCCAGGACCAGGACTTGAACAGGCACTCTGATATGGGATGTGGTTTCAAATGCTCATCCCACCCTTAACTCCTTGGGGGTTGCAGAACAGCCATCAACACAGCAAGGTACTTGGTCTTCTTAGAACTTGGTACACTTGGTACAGAGCTTTACTCTGGGATATGCTAATGGCAAAGAGACTGTCACAGAGCAGCCAGTCACCAACCACAGCTCAAAGTAAGGGTCAGGGAATCCTATCTGATGGAGGGAGAAGGCTCCAATGAACATCATTTAAATCTTACTTACTTTCACTTCTTTCCCACTCTCACCTGGAGGCACCCATGGAAGATTCTGGAAACACTGCTTTCTAAAATTTACCTGTTGGCTGGTGACCCCTCTTTGGTGGATTCCCTGCTGGGGAGTCTTGTCTTCCATCAGCGTCTTCTAGAGCTAAACAGAAACAGATGACCAAGAGGAGTGATGGTTGTCCACGTGTATGCACGTGAGCTTCAGGAAGCAGGTCCCAGACCAACTCCCTGGCTGCCTGCCATAAACCAGGGATCTACAGTTTTATTTGGCAACACCAGAAGTGCAAAGCAATCGGTTGCTATGCTATCTATGACCTCACGAGGGCAGCTGTCTCCAGGAAGAGAAGCCAGGACCCTTTAAGTACATGAACTTGTTTTCAGACTCCCCTCCTGCAAAGGTCATGTCAGAAAGTAGGGTAGAAAGAAAGCTGAGGGTCTGGAAGCATCATGTTGCAATGGCAGCGGCTCCTTGAGGCATCCCAGCAGCCAAGAGGTCAAGCAGGATGTACTCAAAGGACTCTAACCGGCCCTGCCTCTCTGGTTCCCCTTCATCCCAGAATTCTTTGCTCTGGAGGAGTGAGACCCATGGCTTAGACTGGCAATTACTGGTGACTGAACCTGGACATGAGTCGAAGGAAAAATGGGCAGAGCTGCTTTGTGGAAGCACACCCGGCACTGCTCGTTAGTGGCCTGGGGAACAGTGCGCATGGCACCCCTGCACGTCACCCGGTGGTCTGCAGTCCGCACAGGGAGGCGTGCCTTACACTTTCAGTCGTGGCCTTGCAAGGACTGCCATCCCCTTCCACTCCAATACGGGCCTTCCTGCAGCGGCCTTCAGCTCTCCTGATTTAGCTTCTGATGGTTTCCTAGTTACATGGCCATCTCTGTGGCGTTCCGGGGAGGAGTCAGCACACCGGCACTGCACCTAGCACGCCAGCAGCGGTAGCCTTTGTCCCCCGCTCTGTCCCCACTTCCCCCTTGTAATGCCTGGCTTTCCAGGTATCACCAGCCCTGCCCTTGGGGGAGGCGCTTTTCTGAGCACTCTGGAGGAGGAGTGCGTTGAGAATCTCTACACTACCTTCACAGATGCCCATCTTCAGTTTCTCGCTTATCTCGTTCATCGTGCTGAAGTCTTCAGCGTAGAAGAGATGCTTGTCTGTGGGCTCAGAGGCGATCTCTTGTAGTTCCTCCTCTATGGCTTTCCCCACCCCAACAGCATACATGGTGATACCTACGGTGCAGAGAACATTCAGAACAAGGCGGACGGAGCCGTGTGTCCTGCTCCCACAGCAGCCAGATACTAAGTGGTGTGATGTGAGGGGTATATATGAATGCTCCTTTAATATTTTTTTTTTGGTCATTTTTATTTTAAGCAAAACAGAGGGATCTAAGGGAGAGGGGAGGCATCTGGGAGAAGCAAGGGAGCTAAACCACCGCCCTGTTGTTCAGCCCTGGCCAGGGTTAGCTCACAGCTCGTCAACGTTTCCCTGACTTAGTTTTCTGGACAAGCGGGAAAGAACACTCTCTTATGGCTTACACAGGAGACTCTTCTGGAAGTCTGTGAAGCAGGTCCATCTGTGTCCTTATAACTTAACTTCCTTTCTACTTCTCAAAGGCACAGGAAGGGCATCCTAATGACCCGAGACAAGGGAAGCTGCCTGCTGTCCACCTCTCATGGGAGGACACAGTCTTGGGGGGATGCTGAGCTGCAAGGAGAACTTGCAGCCCCCTGGAGACCCCCACATCAGGAAAAGGAACTAACCCAGGATCGACCTTAGATTTCCACGGGGATAGGACACAGCTCCAAGAGCTTTTCTAAAACAAATTGTTAGATTCCTCTGCTCCCACCTGCTCATACACTTCATCTGAAAGCAAAACACAGTACGAACTAAGTTCTGCTTGATTTCAACACTTTGCAGCACTGATATCTCACTGATATCTTTTTCTGGCTAATTCATTGACTACTTTTTTTTTTTTTTTTCCCCAATGCAAAAATGGCTCTGAGCCAAGGGCAAGGGTTATGCCTTGCTCTGAGTCTGTGGAAGGTCCACAGCCAAGTTCAGCATATTTGCATGGGAGCCCGGGGACTTTACACACAACTTTCTAAAAAGGCTATCTACTATTTTAAGATTGTGTTAACTACACAAAGGTAATTAAATACATTAGAAGTTGTAATCTCAGATAAATCCTGCTGATTCAAGAACCAAATAAATATACTACCTGTTTCGGTGTGATCTGTGGAAATCTGACTGGGGAAGGCGTCAGGCAGATTAATCTCAGCAAAACAAATAAAAGGGTTCACAGAGATGCCTCCCCTAATACTTTTTCCATGCTGGTTCACTCCCCAGATGGTTACAACACCCAGGGCTGGGCCAGGCTGAAGCCAGAAGCCTAGAACTCCATCTGGGTCTCCTACGTGGGTGGCAGGGACCCAAGTATGTGAACCATTCCTGATGCCTCCCAGGGTGCACATTAGTAAGAAGCCGGATCAGAAGGAGAGCCAGGAATCAAAGCAGAAACTCAGATGTGGGATGAGGGTTAACCGCTGTGCCAATGTCTGCTCTCTGCCCAATACTCTGTGCGAGTGCAAGCCAGAGGCCCACAGGGTTGACGTGACTAGCAGGCTGATGTGGTGTGAACAGCCAGTTTGACAGTCCACTCCAATGACTCAGGGCAGCACACACCGTGTGGCCACCGCTGTCCTGGGCCAGGAACAACATGAGTGCACAGTGAGGTAGACAACACCAGGCAGCGGCCTCCTTCACGGAGACAGCCTTGCCGTGCGCAGCGGCGTGCACCGCTGGGCTGCAGTACTTTCAGCCCGCGTCCATTCATCTCCAGGTACTGGGCCCACGGCTACTCTGTGCTGGGCCTGGTCCAGGCCCCGAGCTCGGGTGAGGCTGTGGTCCATGCAGACATTTTCGGGACCTGCAACAGCAGTGTGCCCCAACAAGTCCTAAAGGAGGTGGCTTTGAGCAAACTGCTCCACAGCCTCCAGTCTGCCCAGCTCCCCCAGATACCACCATAAGCCACCTCCACCACCCATCCTCACCTCTGCACTTCCTTCCAAAGCCATTCGTGCCCCTCCCCCCACTTCACATCCCCACAGCTCAGGTCCCTCCTTGCACCATCCACGAGGCCAGGAGGAGCTCAGGGAACAGGCTGGGCTCTGCTCAGCGGCCAGAGCCGAGTCACAACCTTCTCCGACAGTCTGCCTGTCTCAGAAGCTACCTTCTGCTGCCTGCCAACACCAGCATATTCTCTATCCTGGGGCTACTGCATTTTCAGAGTATTCACGGGAAGCACTGGTTAGAAGAAAAAACCCACATGCATCCGCAACCACGCACATGTCTCAGTCAAGTTCCCACCAGGAACCTATCTGTAACACGTTCTGGAAGTGGTTCTAAAACAAGCAGCCCAGCATTTGGGAACCTGTGTATTCGTCTGAGATAAGGAGCCCACGCGGTGGGTGGTTCTCTCCACGGGCAGTCACGCTCTGGCCAGGAAATCACAGTAGGTGATTTTGTACCTGGTGTGGGCTGGGTACCCCAGCTTCCCAGGCTGCAAGCCCCGCTCATCCCTTATGAGCACTTTACGTAACTCCCGTCCAGCCCCGTGCTAGGTGGTCATTTGGTAAACTGAGGAATGGAGATTGACAGGAGGCCTGTCTGTACCTTCCAAGAGTCTCACTCCTCTGGCCCGCTGTGCCCTCCCAGTGAGTTTAAGAAACCTGAGCTGCACCCCTTTTTACCATTGGCCTTGGCCTTATTGGCCCACTCGGAGACGTCATCCTGAGCCCGTCCGTCGGTGAACACGATGGCCACTCGGGGTACCCGTGCAGAGAGAGGCCTGGCCCCTTCCAGTTGGGTGAAACTCCTTTCGAACATGTGTTTCAGGGCCTGCCCCGTCATGGAGCCCTTGCCCATGTATTTCATGTGGGCCACAGCTTTCTTCATGTCTTTGGCCGTGCTGAAGCTCCTCAGGGTAAACTCGGCACGGACCTGCGTGGAGTACTGGAGCAGCCCCACCCTGGCAGCTTTGGGGGAGACTGCCAAGGAATCTATAATGGCCGTGAGGAACTGCTTCACAATCTCAAAGTTGTCTTCTCCGAGGCTCTTGGATCCGTCGATCACAAAGACCAGGTCCAGTGGGCCTTCAGTGCATCCTGCGGAAATACAAAGACAGCTGACACGGCCCCACGGTGACAACTCGTCCGTGCCCAAGAGTGGAAGACAATTAGGCTTCAGTTAGAGGAACCACTTTTGAGCTTCTTTAGAAAAAGCACAAGACAGACAAGAGGAATTGGGAGGGTTACAAACAACAATATTTTTTTTTCCTCCCAATGAAACTCGGAGTCTCTGACATGATTTTATTTTTTAGATTTTTATTTATTTATTTTCATTTATTTTTAAAGATGGAGAGAGCAAGACACGGCTCTTCCATCTGCTGGGTCACTCTCTAAATACCCACAATAATCAGGGCTGGGCTAGGCCAGGACTATGCTGAAGCCAGGAGCCTGGAACTCAATGTATGTCTCCCACATGGGTGGCAGGGGCCCAAGCACTTGAGCCATTATCTGCCACCTCCCAGGGTGTGCATTAGCAAGAAGCTGTATTTGGAAGCGGAGTCAGGACTCACACCCAGGCACTCTGTCATGGGATGCAGGCATCGCTAGCAGTGTCTTTCCTGCTGTGCCAAATGTCCTCTCCTCAACAGTAGTTTTTAGATTTGTTTTTGTGTGTTTGTGTGTTGTATTGTCAAAATGATAAAAATTAAATTTTTCTCAAGAAAAGTGTACAAATTGTACAAATCACAGCAGATGTATAAATCATCTAGGAAACTGGTGCACACCATATGCTGGATCACCAACAGCTAGGTCCAGGGTGGTGGAGGGCTGTGTGCAGAATACCTCTAAGGGCCTGACAACACCCAAAAGGTCCCTACAGCTTCACTAAAGGAGGGTGACAGGACACAAGTACTGGCGTTCTGCTTGCATTCAAGAAGGAGCTTCTTAAAATTCAGCTTGACCATCACCTCTTCCAAGGCGCTTTCCTGGTGCCCCAGCTTGTGCTCGTTGTCTGTGTAGCCTAAAATGTCTTTAATGAGCATCTGCTTTGTGCAAGGCAGTAGGCACAAAAGGACTGCAAAGCTGACCAAGGCAATATGCCTAACACCAAGCTGCTTACAACCTAATGCACTCTATGCAGGATCCACATCGTACAATAATCATTTGATAGGTGTCTCTTTTCTGTGAGTGTGTGAACTCACTTCTCAGCATAAACTGGGCCTCATTCATTTCTGTCACCTTAACGCCTGACACACAATGGGTGTCCAATAAGGGCTGTTGATGGACTAAATGAATGAAGTGGTGTGTGTTGGCAGCATCCCTGTAACGATGCTTGAATGCTTAAAAATGAGCGATTGTCATGAATTCTTTATCTACACCAAAGCTCTTGGGGCAACTCGGATGACTGACAGTAAAAGAGAGATTAAAAGCAAAGGTAAGCAAATACTTAAGCAATTTGGGTGTGGAGAGATTTTTTTTGTTATTCAGGGCTGCTTAAGAAAAATCTACAGATCCCAAATGGATGATGTCATTTCCAATAGCCTATAGCTTGCGACATAACTTTCTCTCTGCTACATCAAGAGCTGTGTAACCTTTGAAAGTGAAGCACAATGATATGAGCAAGTGAAGACACACACACACACACACACACACACACACACACGCACAGGCAGAAGCATCCCTAAGCTTGGCTGGTAGGGCCTGTGAACATGACTGTGGTTCCTGTGGGTGCTGAGCTGCTCTCCTCTTTCTCCATGAAGTGCTTGTCCTCCTTACTCAACCTACAGATCTTGTATTAGTGAAGGGGGCAAGGCCAACTCAGAGATTCCTTGACACTCGGAGCCTGTTCTTGAATCAACCCAAACCAACCAACCAAACCAACCCCAAACTCAAGTGGCATGCACGTGGCTCTCCAGCAGATCTCAGAAACACGGGGATGATTTTCCGGCAGCGAGTCTGTGCTCTCCTCTACCCCACTCTTTCCTTGCAGAATAGGACCCGCACCACGGCCTGCACGCACAAAGGCTTCTCCAGGACATGTGAACATAGGAAACAGCAGGAGAACAGCAGGGTGAGATCCGATACAGGATGCCGGCACTGCAGGCTTACAAAATAGCTAACTCTCTCCAGGTTTGTTTGCTGGTGGCTTTTTTTTTTTTTTTTTTTTTTTTTTTTTTTTATGTTTCACGCTAGTAGCCACCCCTGTTTCTAAAATTCCATGCCCAGGACTGAATGTGATTCTCCCTTACAGAGCAGAGCGCCGTCTCCCTCGCTCCCTCAGCCTAAGATCACCCTGGCTTTTTGGCTGATAAAAGAACTTACTGTCAACTAATACCAAGCGTTTCTGCAGATTCTGCGGCTAACCCATCTCTGCCCCGTTCTGCATTGGTGCACACACATTTCTATTCAGGAGAGAAGCATCGGTGAGGGACTTGCTACCTGAAAACACCCCAGAAAGCAGGCGCTCCAAAACCCAACCCAAGCCGACTGCCATGTTCCGAGCGCTTACTCTTGCACCGTCTTCCGTCCTCGGCGAGAACAAACCCCTCTGAGCACTTGCAGACGTAGGAGTCACCCTGATTCACGCATGCGTGCTCGCAGCCGTGCTGGGTGGATTTGCAGATGTCCTTCCCTGAGGAAAAGGGCGGGGGGTGGGAGGGAGGGTGAGCGATCCCAGCAGGGAGAAGCACGCTGGTGAGATGACACACAGAAGTCCTTCTTTCCAAACTCCACCTCTGCCGAAACCTTGGAGAGGCCAAGGTGAGGGTGAAGCCCACCCAAGCCTGACTGATGGGAGGGTGGGTGGCCAGCTTCACTTTTTTTTTTTCCCATAGAGATTCCAAACACTGCGTTCCGATTGTCTCATGGGTGAGGCATTTGAACCCCTTCAGAACACTCACAGCCCTTTAATCCCCACATCATCCCCCGACAGGAGGGATGCACCTGTTGTACACACAGAGACGCACATCTCCGAGTTTCCCTCACAGGCCCGGGGTCGCCCAGCACTGCCGAGGCATCAATGAAAGCCTGCGGCCCTTTTCCGTCATTAGCCCTCTGAGAGGAGAGACTTTACTCAACACCTGAGCCAGTGCCTGCAGATTCCTCACAGGGGTGGGGAACGGCCAGCCCGTGGGCTGTATGAGGCCCGTGAAATCAACCGTTCTGGCCCCGCCAAGGCAACCACGGGCGGGACTCAATATTCAATAAATCTACAGCGGGTTAATTTTTCGGTGGAAAATTTTGTATGAATTGTGAATGATGCTTATAAATAGCCAAGTGGCTCATGGCAGAAAAAAAGGTTCCCTACCCCTGTAGGGTGGGAATGGTGGAATTCGATTTAGGGATCAAACTGCAGCGGCAGAAGCTGTGCCGTGTGTAAACCGCTCACCATAAGGAGCAGTAAATGTTGTCTGTCTGTGCGCGTTTGCATGAATGAAAGCAGGAATGAATGGCTCAGGCAGACGGAACACGTGTGCTCCGCAGAAGGGACGCTTCAGGGTTTACCTAAAACCCAGCACGGTGCAGGAACCCTGCAGAGCTGAGCCAAGGTATCATGGACATCCATGGAGTCAGCTGCTCCAATAGAATCCCCAGGAAGGGGAGGAGCCCCTCTTTGTGGTGGAGGAATGAGGGTGATGGCCTCCCCTCCCCCCAACCCTGCTTTGCTAGCCTGTAGGAACCCCCAGTTATCTCAGTGGAGTCGGGGAGGAGACCTCCACACATCAACCCCAGAAGCAAACAGGCTTATTTGGCCTAACTCAAAAGGCACCACTGCTCCCTGGGGCAGAGTCACGCAAGCAAGCAGATGTTGTCCAAACCCCCAAAGGAGGATGAACAGCCAGAATCTCCCAGTGGAATAAAATCTCCGCCCTGTGCTGCTTCCAACACCTGTGTCCCTAAACAGGGGTGCCGATACCTCTGGCTTCCAGTGGGCACAGGGATGGTTCATTTTATGGGTCTCCTTGGCTAGGGGATGATCCCCAGCTGCTTGGTCAAACACCAGCCTCGGTGTTCTACGAAGATAACTTTTGGGTGTGATTAACAATTGAATTAACAGCTTGGAGTAAACAGACAGCCCCCCATCAGGTAGGTGGGCCTCCAGGGAAAAAGGTGTCTCACGCAAGAGAGGATTTGGCCTCCAGATGGCCTTTGGACACCAGCTGTAATATCAAGTCTTCCCTGAGTCTCGAGCCGGCTCTGCACACACACCTGCCAGCCACAGCATCGTACGAACCAATCTCTTAAGTCCATCTTTTCTCTCCCCCCCCTTCCTTCCCCCCATATATGTGTACACATGCACACACACACACACACACACACAACCACATATACTATGTTTCCCTGGGGAACCCAAATATATTAACTAAACTCTCACAGTCTGTTCTGAGTGACCTACAGCAGCAAATAATAGAGAAAACAGAATAAAAAAAGAAATATACAACCCTTCTCCAACCCTTTACCCTCACTGTAAGGCCCAGAAGACAAAGGCCTGTGATTATCCTGTGATCCTGTAGCAACTGCTGGCAGGGACGAGCCAGGCGCTGCCCGAGGCTCTGGGCATCCATGCAGCTACCTGAGGAAGGGCCCACAGCTGAGGGCACAGGCACACAGGTAAAGAGGCTGCGACACTCCTGGGGCAGGAAGGTCCCCTGGACTGATCTTGATCGAAACACTTTCAAAGTGCCCAGAGCCGGACCTTATATTAGTGACACTGGTTACAAACAAACAAAGAACTGAAAGACTGAGTGCGCCTCTGGAATTATCTGAGCGCGCCTGCAGGCTCCTTACTTCTGCAGCGTCTCCCGTCCTCAGCGAGCCGGAACCCCTCCAAGCACCTGCAGATGTACGAGTCGCCACGGTTCACGCAGATGTGTTCACAGCCGTGCTCCGTGTCTCGGCAGACATCTCTCCCTGGGGACAGCAGTGCACGTTACTACAACCTCGCCTCGACAGGTGACACGGAGCTGCCCTTGGAGGTACCGGCCCCTCAGCCGTGGTCTTCGGTGAGCAGAACGGCCACGCTGAGCACAGGCTAAGTCTTCAAGGTTTCTTACGGTCATCGGCACCGTCATCCGCCAGCACCTACTTTTGGGGTCTCATAAAAGTGCACTACAAAACTACAGGCTTTCTGCAGCCGGGGTTTCTGATCCCCGAATGGAAACCCTGTTGAAATGATTACTTAGGAGACTGAACCTCAGTTTGGATGAACAGCGCTGAAATCTAATTTTGGCTTGGTCCCCAACATAAAATATGGCTTAGGAGAATCACTTAGCTTTCCTGCCTGAAAAATGAGAGTGATAATGCTAGTTAGCCATCTTTTCTTCAAATAGTGTCACATGAGTCACTCTAAGGAATGTGCTTCCAGAAGCCTGAGAAAAAGATGACTGATAGGGTTGCAAATCACTGGCTCAGGGCTACTCGCCCCGCTTTGACCACAGAGAGATGTGTTTTGGAACTTACAGCCGTGAATCACTCTAAAGCTGCTTGCACTAGGCAGGCTGGTCACAGGCCCCAGCGTCTAAGAGAATCTGCCCTCTGAATGTAAGAGCGGCCTTATCACAAGGTCGTGTCCATGACGGATTTCACCACCCAAATAATAACAGCAGTGACAGTAACATTATTAAAGATAAATAAATGGAGGTTCAGAGAAATTAAGCAACTTTCCCAGCTAATAAAGGGCAGAGCTAGAAAGTGGCTTACTTACATTTTTCACTGTACCACGGCTATCAAAGCTTATGGAATATGCATAATGAAAAAACTATGCATGGATTTCAATGTTCTTGCACCAAAATCAACATCGTTTAATTCCATTTTTTCCATGACCCCTTGGAAATACCCTTGTACGACTTTCTGCAACAGCTAAACTGCTGTTTCTGCCCCAAAGCACATACGTGACCAAGTTCAGTCATGGCTTTGGTATTGACTTTTTTTGTCCTTTTTTTTTTGCTTAATATACTTTATTTTTAGGACAGTTTTACATTAACAGAAATATTGAAAAGATGGTAGAGAATCCTCATATACCCTATACCTCATTTCCCCATCATTAACATCTTACATTAGTAGGGCACATTTTTTATAATTAATGAATTAAACTGATACATTATTAGTAACTAAAGTCCATTTACTTAGTTTTTGCCCAATGTCCTTTTTCTGTCCCAGAATTCCACCTGAAAGCCCACATTAACTTCAGCGTATGACACTGACTGATTGACACAGAGACCAGCACAGTGATGTGAAAGTCACGAGCGCCAGCTGCGGTAGAAACTTACTTCTGCAGGTCTTCCCGTCTTCGCGGAGTAGATACCCTTCAAAGCACTGGCACACAAACGAGTGCTCCTTGCTTACACAGGAATGCTCGCAGCCATGGTCCCCCAGAGCACACGCATCCAATTCTGAGGATCAGATTGGAATAAGAGAAACAGAAGAAAAGATGCATACATTAGTGGCTTATCCAATCATAAGAGACATTTCAGACACGTTACATTAAAATAATCACTATCCTACTCTGCATATTTCAGAACAGAAAGCAGTCTATGAGAAAAAAATCTTAGTACAGAGAGAATACACACAGATAAAACAAGGTAATCACTTCTCCAGGGAAAATGAGCAAAAGACAAGAAGACAATTTGCAAAACGAGCGATATAAATGAACTATAAATATGATAAATAAGTTCAACTTCACTATATAACTGCAAGTTATCTACATATCTACTTAGGTACATATGCATGTCTGTCTGTGTGTGTGTGTGTGTGTACATTACATCACATTTAGGAAATGCACTCATTCAATTCATTTACTTGGCCCACAAACACGTCTTGAGTTCCTACTTTGAACCAGGCACTGTTCTAGACTCTGGTGATTTAGCAGTGAATAAAACAACATTTCTGCTTTCCTGAAGCTTACGCATGGCAGGTGTCAGGGGCATGTGGGGGTGCACAGAAGACAAACAACAGATAAACACATGTATGAAACAGCAGGTGGGGAAAAGTCCAGGGGAGAAAAAGCTAGATCTGGGGAACACAGAGGCCATCGGGCCGGGGAGTAGGAGGACAGCCATTTCACGTGGTGCGGTCAGGTAAGTGACAGAGCACAGCCCTGGGAAGACAGAAGTACGTGGGTTGTCCGGGAAAGCCTATTTTCAGGAAGGTGGGGCAGCAGAGGTAGGAACCTGCTTAGCACATTTCAAGAAAGACAAGGAGTTGCTAGAGGCTAGGGGGAGCACCCCAGAGCCAGGCAGGGGTCGAGGCCAGTAATGCTGGTGGGTCAGATCACACGGGATTCACAGGCAGAGGTCAGATCTGTGTGAGCAGGGTGGTCGCTGCGGGGTTTCCAGCGGTGCAGCACCCGGACCCGACTTCTTCTGAAAACAACTGCTCTGCACGGAGTGCAGCATGGGTGAGGCTGGAGCCTGGAGAGCAGGGAGCTGCCTGCTCTAACAATCCTGCTGGCCCACATCAGGCTGGTAAGAAGCATCCAGACTGTGGCTGGGTTTTGAGGGTGGAGCCTGCAAGATTTGTTGATGGACTGACAACAGGAGTCTGCATGGGACAGAGGCGTAAAGGATGGCTACGAGGTCGCTGAACCGAGCCTCTAAAGGGTGGCACTGCCATCCGCCGGGCTGGGAGACTTGTCAGGGACCAGATTTGTGCACCTGTAAAAATCAGGCTGATTTTCGGTTTCGTGTTAAGTTTTTTTACTTATTTGGAAGGCAAACAGAGAGTGAGACAGACAGACAGACAGACAAATAGAGCTTCCATCCACCAGTCCACTCCCCAAATGCCCACAATGGCCAGAGCGGAGCTGGGAGAAGGAAATTTAATCCAGGCCCCCCATGTGAGTGGCAGGGACCCAGCTACTTGAGCTATCACAGCTGCTTCCCAGGGCGCACATTAGTAGGAAGCTAGAATCGGCAGCAGAGCTGGGGTTTGGTACATGGGCATCCCAAGCAATGTCTTAACCACTGTGCCAAAGCCCCACCTCCTAGGCTGAGGTTTTCAAAGCTTGATATTGAGGCCAGGTGGGCAGTGACCTTTTAGAAGAACCAGACTGAGTTTCAGACTGAGTAGAACTCTCACGATGGATAAGCATCGGTTACTAAATCAAGATCCCAAAGCGCAGGGTGCATCTTATAAGCAGGCACAAACCACACGCTGTCTCTGTAAAGCCTTTTGCAGTATTCCCTCTGGAGGGGAGTCCTCACAGCTGCCCGTGATTGGTTAAGGCAGCTGCTGTTCCTCTCATTTACCAACGAGAGAAGATCTCGTTTGGGAATGTTAAGGGCTTGCCAACGCCAATTATTAGGAAATGGAAGAACTGGACTAAAAATATTATCTGATGACAATAAATCCCATGTTGTGTTCTGACTCCACCACGTTGCTATACTCTCAAGTAAGCTTTCGAACACGAAGGGGATTTTGCCTGTCTTTCCTGGGGCAGAAGAGCTGCCAAACTCTCTGAACAAAGGGAAAATGTTGTTAAGTGAATTATAGCTGCAGAAGAGATTCCAAACAGAGCCGGGGCCGCCTGTCCACCCTCTCTGGGCATGTCCTATACTCTAATTAGTCATGGAGAGCATTTCCTGATAGCGTGGGTAGTCCTCGTGGACAGAGTGAGCAGAGAGCACACTTGAGTGATCCTTGGTGGCAGAGGTGAGCTTGTATCACTCCTCCATCATAACACAGATAGTGCATTTTCCAGGGCAACAAAATAGCTAGAGCTCTTTCCGGTCAGGTTTGTCAAGCCATCATCCAGACAGACGCCTCTGAGTATGCCCTTGCATCCTGGAGCCTGCTCTGTCCTCAGCCCAGGCTTTCACCTTGGACAGCCAGCGAGTCTTCTTCACCCGGGCTTCCCTGAGCCACAGCGGTCCCAGCCTGCAGGTGCAGACGCTGCTGCTGAGTGGGAAGCTGGGTGCCCACAGGGCGCATCCTCAACCCTGGACTCTCCAGGAACCCTTAGCCTGTTTGCAGTTCTCCTGGGTTTTGTCATTAGTAGCGGTCTGGGATTTTCGTTGTGTGCATGCTTTAAAAGCACATGGAGCATTCTGTGACCTTTTCCTGTCTCACCCCTAGAGCATCTGCTCAAGAGAGAGCAGGTGAGGTCTCGGTGTCAGACGTGCGTCAGAGCCACCTGCAGAAATGACACTCTAAGGTCAAGCAGGTGCATGGCTGAAAAGTGAGATACGCAAAGGGCATCTCTCCCCTGCAGAGGAGTGCCAGCAGAATCCAGCGACGTCCAGCTGATGAAAATGAATAAACGAACATTAAAATATCCCTGTCTCCCGGCATGCACACATCCGTGCAGTCCCCTCCCGCACTGTGGGTCTGGGTGGCCAAGAGCACCGTCTCTTCTCAAGTTATCAGAGACACTGGGGCTTCTGTCTTGGATGCTCCTGCCCTGCGTGAGCTCACTCCCACTTCTTGGTCACTCGCCCTGGGGATAGCCCTGTTGTGAGCAGCTCTGTGGAAAGGCTCATGTTGCAAGGAACTGTAGCCTCCAGCCAAACAGAATCTGTGAGAATCTGGGGCCCTGCAACACACACACAAGTGCGCTTGGAAGTGGATGTTGAGCTCCAAGCGAGAAGCCCAGGCCTCCCGAGAGACCCTGAGCTTGAAGCACTTGGCAGAGCTCCTCTCAGACCCCAGACCATCAGACACTGTGTGAGATCACAAACGTTTGCTGTTTAAAGCTGCTAGCTTTGGGAGTAGCTTGTCCCCTAGCAAGTGATAACTACTGCATAATTTTTATTAGTTTATTTAACCATCCAGTATTGCTTCACGTGAGTCATAAAAAACACAAGTATTTATTCTTATTTTCTCCCCTTTCTTCCACACACACGGGGTAGTGGCTTAGCAGGTTCATCCAAAATGGGGTGCTATGCACTCTCATTCTATGCCTTTCCTCCCAATTCGATGACATTTACAGGAGCTCTCTTCATAGCATTACACAGAGAAGTGGCTCATTCTTTCTAATACTTGAGTGATGTTCCCTTGTGTGGGAACTCTGTTGCTGGACACCTGGATCATTTCCCACTTTTCCTTATTACAAGCAAGGCTGCCGTGAGTAACCTGAACTAACCCTTTACACGGTGCCAGGGTATCTGCATCTGCCGGAGAGAGCTGCAGCCGTGGAGGCGTTGAGTCTAAGGTACATTTGGTCACTTCAGTAGGCAGCAGGTGACGGCTCAAGTAGTTGAGTCCCAGCCACCTGTGTGGGAGACCCAGACTGAGTTCCCAGTTCCCAGATTTGGCCTGGCCAGCCCCAGCTGTTGCAGGCACTTGGGGAGTAAACCCATGGAAAGGAGGTCTCTGTCTCTCTGCCTTTCAAATAAATAAATACTAATTAAAATTAAAGCTAACAAATACTTTTAAACTGTCCTCAAAAGAGATTATTTCAGTATTTATTCTCACCAACAACATGCAATAGTCTCTGTTGTGGTTTCTGATTCAGGGGGCAAGGGTGCTGCCCTTGGCTCTGGATTTTTGACAAACACCACAGATGATTCTATGAGCCACCAGGGGTGCAGCATTGGCAGTGGACTCCAACCTTGAATCCAGGAACCCTCCCATGGGCCTCCACATCATGAGTCAAACGCCCCCAGCTCTCTTTTGGGCTGTAGCACCCTCTACTAACCAAGCCCCACGCACACACCCCTGACCATCTCCAGTCTGTCCTCTTTCCAAACGTAGTTCTGCTCTCATCACTGCCTCTCCCTGCAAGGATCCTGTAAGGTTTCCCAAGAGTCTCTGGCTGAAATGGGAAACCTTTAGTAAGACATGCACCACCTGCGCTCCAGCCTCACCTCCCCCTCTGCACTCTCCAAGACCCATCTGGGAAACCATTCCTCTCCCTGGAAGCCTCTTTCCCTACCATACCCCTTCTCTCAGTTAACCCTCCTCCAGGGGCCAGCATGGTGGCACCTGAAATGCCTGCATCCCATATGAGTACTGGTTCAAGTCCTGGCTGCTCCACTTCCTATCCAGTTCCCTGCTAATGTGCCTGGGAGGGCAGCAGAAGATGGTCCAATTGGCTGGGCCCCTGCCACTTATGTAGGAGGTCCAGCCTGAGTTCCAAGCTTTTGTGGCTAGCAATTGTGGCCATTTGGTGAATGAACCAGTTGATGGAAGATCTTTCTCTCCCCCTTCTCTCTAACTCTGTCTTTCAAATAAATTAATTAAAAAAAAACCAAAAAAAACAAAAAACAAAAAACCTCATCCAGCCCCTCCTGGCCTCCTGGCACAGGGTCTCAAAGCACCACACATTCTTATGGTGGTGGTGTTGAGTTGTAGTAGGACAACGGTTTCTGTGATCTCTGGATTTGTGTTCACCTCCTCACTGGGCTGTGACCACAGGACTCTGGTCTTCCAGAGACCACGCACTGTATCTGCCCTT